CCCGGCCGTGCTCACGCGCCGCTCCGCCGCCGCAGAAGTGCCTGCGCCTGGACCCGGACGCGCCCGTGTGGACCTCCAAACAGCGCGTGCTCTGCACCCTCAACCACAGCCTGCAGGACGCGCTCAACTACGGCCTCTTCCAGCCGCCCTCGCAGGGCCGCGCCGGCAAGTTCCTGGACGAGCAGCGGCTCCTGAGGGAGTACCCGCCCAACCCCGACACACCCCTGCCCTACCTGGAGGTGCGAGCTGGGGGCGCGGGGCGAACTCTCACTGGGTTGGGGGGGGGGAGGCATGTCGGATGAGAGGCGTGTGTAATGTGTGATGTAACAGGGTGACGGGTGTACACATGTAAGGAGTGCATGTGGTAACAGTGTGTGGTGTGAGTTGTGTGCACAGTGTGGTGCAAGCAGTGTATCTTCAGGTGGACAGTGTGAGTGGTGTAAGCAGTGTGCATGGTGTGTGCACAGGATGTGGTGTGACAAGGGTGTGCATATAAACTGTGTGGTGTGAGCAGTGTGTTTGCAGGTGAACAGTGAGTGGTGTTCCCAGTGTGTGTGATATGAGCAGTGTGTGCAGTATGTGGTGTGAGCAACAGGTGTACAGGTGAGCAGTGTGTGTAGTGTGTTGTGAGCAGCGTGCGTGCAGTGTGGTGTGAGCACTGCGTTCATTGTGTGGTATAAGCAGCATGTGAACAGTGTGTGCAGTATGTGGTGTGAGCAGCAGATGTACAGGTAAGCAGTGTGTGCAGTGTGGTGTGAGCACTGTGCCCATTGCGTGGTGTGAGCAGCATGCACAGTGTGTGGTGTGGGCATCATGTATGCAGTGTGGTGTGAGCAGCAAGTGTGCATGTGAGCAGTGTGCATGGTGTGAGCAGTGAGCACAGCTGTGTGAGGATTGGGTGTGAACAATGTGAGGGCTGGGAGCAGTGTGTGGTGTGAGCAGCATGTGAGCAGTGTGTGCAGTGTGTGGTGTGAGCAGTGAGCACAGCTGTGTGAGGATTGGGCGTGAACAGTGTGAGGACCAGGAGGAGTGTGTGGTATGAGCGTGCTTCCTGTGTGCACTCCAAGTCTTCTGAAGACAGAATCTCCTTGGCTGGCTCTCTGCCCTGAAAGGGTGTGGATCCCTTGCCAGCCAGCCCTCTGTGGTCAGGGAGTGGGTAAGCCTGGGAGGCACTGGGGTGAGCGCTCTCCTCACTGGGCTTGATAGCTGTCACTCTGGGAGGGCGGTGGGGTGGGATGGGGGGCAGGGCTAGGAGGGTGAACCTGGAATTGGGTCTTAGAGGAAAGCAGATTTTCTGAGGAGACCCTGGGGCTGGGGCTGAGGAATAAGAATGAGCAAGTGTGCCTGAGCCAGAGGTGGGGGTGGACCACCATGTGGGCTCTGTGGTCACCATAGTGGGGCCTGCGTGATGGGCTGCTACGTGGTTCCTTGTAGGCTATGGGCCTGGGCATACACTGAGTTTGTGGGGCACTGGCGGCCATCACAGGGTGTGGGTGAACTGGTGGCCCCGAGGGCTGCTCTGCCCCTCCTCCCACAGCCCATGGACCCCGCTACTCACCCCTCTTTCCTGAGCAGTTCCGTTACAAGCGACGAGTTTATGCCCAGAACCTCATTGATGACAAGCAGTTTGCAAAGCTTCACACAAAGGTAAAAAGTCAATCACCACACAAGGACCCCAGAGACCGCCTTGTCCTGCAGAAGCCCCACCTTAGCTTCTTGCTTGCTTCCTTCTGGAGGTCCCCCTTGCCTAAGGTGACCAGATGTCCTGCTTTTGGTGGGACAGTCCCTATTTTTAACAATGTTTCCCATGTCCCACGGCGTTTTTAAAAAGTCCTGATATTTGGAAAGAATGCATGACAAGCTAGGGTATACGATTTTCGGCTGTCATGTGGCTATTTCGCCAAGATATGAGTTTTATCAATGGTGTCCCACTTTACCAATGTTAAAATCTGGTCACCTTACCCTTGCCCCAGCACCCCTGAGTGTATGCCACTCTCCCAGCCCCAGCTCGGCCTGCCTCTGCCTTGAAGAAGCAGGCCTGTGGCCTGGGTGAGGAGGGTGCAGTTGGCGCTGTGGTTGAGGATTATGGGAAGGGCTGGTGGTGGAGCAGGGCTGGGGAGGAGGCCAGCTGGTGTGAGAGGTAGGATGAGGGTTCCTGTGTATCTCCCCCGGGAGGTGTCGCTGTTCCCATGGGAGGCAAGGAGCCTGAGTCCCAGAATGCTTTCTCCGGACAGGCAGCCTTGATCTCTCTCCTTGCCTGTCCCCATTCCTATCCGTGGGTGACCTGGGTGAGCTAAGCCCCATATCTGCCCTGTGCTCGGTCCTTCTCAGTGGGGAGTGTTAGGGCTATGGCTCCCCAAAGAGTGACTTTGGGCTCTTCGGGACAGGCAGGCTGGCCTGTTGGCCCAAGAGGGGGGCCAGGGGCAATGGTGAGGTTGGGTGAGACTCCCTTCGGTGCTCAGCCAGGGTCCCTGGTATTGGTGAGGGTTGCCTGGCGCCCAGGCCAACAGCCGGCGGCTTTGAGGATCGGGCTGGGCAAGCTTGGTATGGGAGGAGAGGGGTGGTTGGATTTAGGTGACACAGTGGGTGACTGGAGACAGGTGGCTGGTGGGCAGGGACGTGGACTGACCAGCCAGTGTGTGCTGCAGGCAAACTTGAAGAAATTCATGGACTACGTCCAGCTCCACAGCACAGAGAAGGTGGCCCGTCTGCTGGACAAGGGACTGGACCCCAACTTCCATGACCCTGATTCAGGAGGTAAAGGTGGGGCAGGGAGGTCTTGGAATTGTAAGCCCTGGAGGGAGGGCCTGGGCATCACCTCTGCCATTCTCTGTCCCCTGTCTGGTTCCAGAGTGCCCTCTGAGCCTTGCTGCCCAGTTGGACAACGCCTCAGACCTGCTGAAGGTGCTGAGGAATGGTGGGGCCCACCTGGACTTCCGCACACGTGATGGGCTGACCGCTGTGCACTGTGCCGCCCGCCAGCGGAATGCTGCCGCCCTGACGGTCAGCAAGGGGGCCTGGCGGGTGGGCAGTTGTGGGGGCAGGCAGTGCACACCGCACTGGGCGCTTAAGCTTCTTCTCCCCAGACCCTGCTGGACCTGGGGGCGTCTCCCGACTACAAGGACAGCCGTGGCCTAACACCCCTGTACCACAGCGCCCTGGGGGGCGGGGATGCGCTCTGCTGTGAGCTTCTCCTCCATGACCATGCCCGGCTCGGGGCTACAGACGAGAATGGCTGGCAGGAGATCCATCAGGTGGGGCCTGGGGCTCACCGGGATCTGAGAGCTGGACAGCCACTGCCGCTGTCTGTGGGTGTGGCCAACACTGTGGGGAGGCTCTTTCCTCTGTGGGTGGGCCCTGTCCCTGTCTGTGGGCTGGGTTTACCCTGCCTGTGAGCTTGGCCACCCATGACTGTGGTTGGGCCCTTTCCCCTGCCTGTGGGCGGCATGGACTAATTGCTGTCTGTGGGCGGAGCTGGCTCTGCCTGGGGGGAGTAGCCTGGCCTCTGTCTGGGCGTGGCTGGGCCAGCACCTTCTCTGTACCCAGGCCTGCCGCTTTGGCCACGTTCAGCACCTGGAGCACTTGCTGTTCTATGGCGCCGACATGGGAGCTCAGAACGCCTCCGGGAACACTGCCCTGCACATCTGTGCCCTCTACAACCAGGTCTGTGTGCTCATGAGCACCCAGCAACACACTGTGTGTTTACACATGTGCACACACGCCCTGTCAGCTATGCACATGTACAGTGATGTGTATACTCACATGTACTTATGTGTCACTTCAGCTGGGCACATGTATAATGAGGTGTGACTGCATGTGTACATGTATAGTGAGGTGTCACACACGTGTCTGTCACTTCAGCTGGGCACATGTATAATGAGATATGACTGCCTGTGCACAGGTGCAGGGAGGTGTGCCTGGGTCACTTCGGCTGGACACATGTATAATGAGATGTGGCTATGTGCCTGGGCAGTGAGGTATACTTCTGTGTCATGTCAGCTACACATACACAATGAGGGGACTACATGTGTACATGCATAGTTGCACACTTGTGCATGCATGTCACCAGATATGTACATATGTAAATAATTTAAGACTGTATGTGTACATGAACATTGAAGTGTGACTGCTTACACATGCATGCCTGAATGTCACATCAGCTGTGCCCATGTGTGACTGTACATGGATAATGAAGCATGATTACCTTTCTCGTATGCAGACACGTCTCATCCTCTGTGTAAGTGAGACTTCTGTGCACCTCCTTGCTTGTGTGCCCTTACAGTGAGGCGTGAATATCTGCTCCACGCCGGAGGCTTCCATCCCAGGTCACTTCTAGTGTGAGGGAGTCGTAACTGCCCTGTTGCCTCGTGGACCTGGGTGTGAACACTGATCCCTGGCACACACCTGTGGCAAATGTACAAACCTGTGTTTTGACTGTGCATGTCTGTGTGCACCAGGCCTGCTTGCGCATGCCACCTTACACAGTCATGCTCCAACACGGGGTGTGGTGAGTGTGTGCGCCTGTAGACCTGCCTGGCACTGCGGATGGGATGTGTGTGCGTGTGCTCAGGCTGAGGGGCAGTGCCCCACCAGAGCCCATCCCTCTGGCCCTCACCATCCTGACCCCATCCCCCGCCCCCTCTCTTCCCAACCTCCCAGGAGAGCTGTGCCCGCGTCCTCCTCTTCCGTGGTGCCAACAAGGATGTTCGCAATTACAACAGCCAGACAGCTTTCCAGGTACAGTGGGCTGAGTTCGAGGCCACACCTCAGGGGTCCATCTGTCTCCCTGTCCATCTGTGTCCATCCATGCTTTCTTTGGGCGATGGGAAGCCATTGGAGTCCCTCATTGCCCTGGGTGGGGTGCAGGAAGGAGGACAGAGGGGACAAATAAAGGGGCCCCAGAGTCCCTTTCTTGACTTCTTTCCAGGGAGAAAGGGCATTTCTTGGGCCAGGAGGTGTGGCCAGATTCCTAGGGGCAGGAGGCAGAGACTGAGCTGTCACAGCCCTCTCATAGCTTGGGGTGACCCTGGAACAAGGTCTCTGATAGTGGCCACATCTCTGGACCTCGGGAAGAGCCTAGGCACTGATCTCAGGGCGTGGGCTCCAACTGGAAGGACAGTTTGGTTTCAGAAGGAGCCGTCTTGCCAGTGGAGTGGAGAGGCCTGTTTGAAGCTTGGTGGTGTCTGTGTGTGGCCTGCTAGGTGGTGACAGGGGTTGGGAGGTTGGGAAGGGGTTGGACACACCACCTGCTAGGCTGTGCTCAGGATATGGTGCAGGGTGAATTGAAAGTTCCAGGTGGAGGTGGTCAGTGCCCAGCACAATCAAGAAGGATCTGGGCCTGAAGGGTCCCCTCAGTCCTGGCGAACTGGGGTGGTGGTCACCCCAGGAATAGGGGAGTTAGACTTGGGAAAGGGGAAAGGGGTGAGGGGTCTGAGGAAGGACTGAGGAGGGGAAGGAGCCTGGGAAGGGTGCAGTATGTGTGTGGGGTCTGGGAAGGGGTGCGGTATGTGTGTGGGGTGTGTAGCATGACTGTGTCCCCGGGGTATCATTCGGTCTCAGAGACCCTGCAGCTCAAATCAGGAATATTGGCAGCATAAGAGGTGGTTTTTCTGAGGGACCAGGCTCTGGGCTGTGTCCTCCCCCACCAGTCCTTCACTCCTGCAGTCCTGCATACCCTGGGCTCACCTCTGCCCCCTTACGGCACCCAGTAAGTGCTCAGCTGTGGCTTCTGCACTCCCTGGGTGACACACCTGTGCCCCACCCTCTGTGCCCCAGGTCGCCATCATTGCTGGGAACTTTGAGCTTGCTGAGGTCATCAAGACCCACAAAGACTCCGATGTTGGTGAGTGCCTCCTGAATGTGGCCTTTGACTCCCCCCAGGTCCCCCACCTTGCTGCCATTGCTGCTCTGGGGTCAGTGGTCAGTGGCCCTGGAGGGTGTGGGGCGGGGCGTGTGAGTGTTTACATGCATGGCCAGTGTGTCCTGTTGTGGCGGTGTGAGCTCCTGAGGCCCATGGGGCAGCACAGGGACAGCAGCATGGAGGGGAGCTGTCAGTCTGCCCCGGGGTGCAGGGGTTCTGGACCCACCCCTGGTGTGTGGGACTGAAGAAGAAGAGCAGGGTGGAGCAGAACATCCCACATCCCCCCAGCCCCTGCCTGTGCGTGGACTGGCAGAACCTCAGGAGAGACTGACCACACAGGGAAGTCCTTTCCTGACCCCTTGGTGTTCCTGGCACCTGGACTGTGCTGCCTCTGGCTTTCTGACTCCCGACTCCCTGCTCTGCCGTGAGCCCTTCTTGGGAGGGTGAGGGGGGTGGACAGACGGGCTGGGGTCATCTCGCCTGGTTCTTAGGTAGGTTTAGGGCTGGATTTGGATTTCAGGCTGATATGAAGTGAGCAGCAAGCTCCCAGGGAACAGCTGGTCAGGTCGTAGCCCCAATATCCAGGTCAGAGCAAGCCTTGCTGGGAGGACAGCTGGGCCATGGGGCCCTGTGGAGCTGGAGTCTGGGTTCTCGTGGTCAAATGGTCAAACCGTGGTAAGGTGTGGGGTGCGGGGTGAGGGGTACGTCAAGGCTGAGGTTGCGGTGAGGTCTGGGCTGTGGCCAGCTGGCAGGGCCCTGCTTCGGGAGGACCAGCCCCTATGTTCTGGTAGTGGGAGCCAAACTGGGTCTTTTCATGACTGTGCCCCTTTGTCACTTGGGCCCCTGGGGACAAGGGGTAGTAGATTGTGGTGGGGGCTAGGGCCGGGCAGCAGAGCTTGTCTGAGTCACCCTTGCCTCATGGGTACACAGAGGGCTGCTTTTGCCGGGCTCACTGATCAAACACTGGCCCTGTGACGGTCAGGAAGGCTTGGGGTCACCGTGGGAGGCAGTCTGCCAGGCCTTGCACCCTATCAACCGCTCAGACGTGGTCAGCCTTGAGCTTCTTTTATTTAGCGGGCCAGAGGACCGGGCATTTCCAGCCCCACTCATTGAGAGGTAATATGGGGCTGCGAGGGGTCAGTGGCCAAGCGGGCTCACAGGTCATCACACTACCCAGGCCTTGGCCGGGTCTGCACATGGCCCCCTGGCTCCTTTCCTAGGGGTCCACCAGGGTCTATCTGGGGACAGGACGGCTGTTGGAACCTCCTCTGCTTTCTCCTGTTGCCCCATCTTTTTGGCTCCCCCCTTCCTTAACAGATATGTACTCTCTGAGGGCCACCACACTATGCCGCGGGCCACCACACTGCACTCTGAGAGGCATTACACTGCTCTCTGAGGGTGATTACACTGTGCCTTGAGGGTGATTACACTGCTCTGTGAGGGTCAGTACACTGTGCTCTCTGAGGGTGATTACACTGTGCCTTGAGGGTGATTACACTGCTCTGTGAGGGTCAGTACACTGTGCTCTCTGAGGGTGATTACACTGTGCCTTGAGGGTGATTACACTGCTCTGTGAGGGTCAGTACACTGTGCTCTCTGAGGGTGATTACACTGTGCCTTGAGGGTGATTACACTGCTCTGTGAGGGTCAGTACACTGTGCTCTCTGAGGGTGATTACACTGTGCTATGAGGGTCATTATACTTTTCTCTGTGGGCTGGGAACCTTTCTCACTGGAATTTGGGTCAGTTGACCAGCATACCTGTCATGCCGACTGATAGGTCTCGGGGTACAGAGGCTGTGGTTCGGTGACTGCCCTGGGGACCATTGGCCCACTCAGTGCTGCAGCCGATGCATTTTGAAATGTGGCTTCATTATGGCAGATCTGGCTCCGGACCACAGTTCCATTGGCTGTCAGTAATGTTGGCGAGACTCGCCTAGCTGTATGGTATCACACAGCTGCCTACTCCCCAGAGGTTGTCACCACCCTAACAAGAGCACAGACCAAGTCCCTAACCCACTGCCAGTCAGGCCATTCCAAATGCAAGACCCCACATGTATTTCCTGGACCGTCGCTCTCTCTGGAGCAGGCCGGTCACCTCTCTCCCAATGAGTGGCCCTGAGTATGCACCGATGGCCTATGGTTAGCAGTCTAATGCTCCGTGCCCCTGCAGCTGTCACTCCTTGGCCTCCACCACCTAGTAACTGTGTGTGTGTGAATCTAGATACCCTGTGTGGGTGGAGTCTAGATACTCCGGTGTAGGTGGAATCTGGATACATTGTAGGAGGAGTCTACATAATCTGTGTGGGAGTATAGGTACTTGGTATAGGTGAAGTCCAGATACTCTGTGTGGGTAGAGTTTAGATACTCTATAGGTGGAATCTGGATGCATTGTTGGTGGAGTCTAGATACTTTGTGTGGGTGAAATCAAGATACTCTGAGACCACATACTCTGTGTGGAGTCTGGTTACTCTGTGTGGGTGGAGTGTACATGTTTGTGGGTGGAGTCTGAATCCTCTGGGTGGGTGGGAGCACGCAATGGCCTCTGTATCTTGTTTCCTTCCTTCAGGTGACATCTGTGAGGCTCACGTATGGCATATAGTGTATCGGAGCATCATTTCTTGTTAATTAAGGCTGAGTAGTGGTCCACTCTGTGTGTCATGTTTTCCTACCCCTCATCTGTTGCTGAGTGGACACTTGGTTGGTTCCACCTTTAGCCCACAGTGGGCCTTGGGGTGCAAGCCCCTCTGTCAGCCCCTGGTTTTCATAGCCTTGGTGTGGACTCAGGAGTGGAACTGCTGTGGTTTGTGGTGACTCTTTGTTGGTTTGCTGATGATCCACTCCAATGTTTTCCACAAGCCTATGCCATTTTCAATCCACGGGGCAGAGTTTCTGTTTATCTGCTTCCTCCCCAAAACGAGTCACTTCATGTTTTGTTTTCCTGAGGACAGCCATCAGCTGGGGGTGAGGCCATATTTCACTGTGGTTTGATTTCTGCCTCCTTGATAGCATAGGGTGCTCAGCATCTTTCTTGGCACTCACTGGTCACTGATAGCGTCTCTGCAGATCGTCACTTTGGGTGCCTGCACACTTTTTCAGGGTGCTGCCTTTTCTTTGCTGAGTTTTAGCTCTTTGTAGACTCTTACAGTTCAATGGCTCCCAGATAGTGGACTCACGTTGTAACTTTGGGCAGTTTTCTCGATAGAGCCTCTGCTGTGCGAAGGGCTCGTTCTGATGGTTTCTTTGACCCGCTTTTCCTTTGTTGCACATGCTATTGGTGGTGTGAGCAGGAATTCATGGACGGAAAGGAGGCCACCCTGAAGCACCACCCTGTTTTCTTCTGGGAACATGTGGCTTAGCTCTGACCTTTAGGGTGCGGTCCATTTTGAATGCGCTTTAGTGATATGAGGAGCGACTTCATTCCTTTGCATGTGCAAATCCACGTGTCCCAGCGCCATTGGTTCCTAAGACTGTTCTCTCCCCCAACAGACAGACTTGGCACCTTGATGAAGGTCAGCAGGTGCAGATGGGTGGGTTTCCTTCTGGACGCTCACCCTGTGCTGGTGGTGCAGTCTGTCTGTAGACCAGTTGGAGGCCATGCTGGTCACTGGGCCATTCGGGTTTTTTCAGCTGGGACTTGTTCTTTTTCAAGATCGCTTTCCCTTGTCAGGGCCTAGAGAGGCGTGGGAGTGAACACAAGGCTTACACACTCACTTACGGACTCTCGTGGCTTTCCCAGGTCCCCTGGGGTTTTCCAATGAGGGTCACCGCTGCCTGTAGACATGGAGGGTTTTACACTTCTGCTGTATGCTTTGTCAATAAACTTTTATTGGGGCTCAGCTGTGCCCATGTGCTTATGATAAAGTGGCAGGTCCTGATTGGCTGGCCAAGCTTCATGCTCACTATGCCCACTAGCTGGCTCCTTTCTGAAGATGTGTGATGACCTCTGTTTCTGATGTGGTCACTAAAGATGGTGCCCGGAAGAAGCTGGCCTGCCTGGCACAGCTGTCCTGAGAAAGATCTGAGGCTGAGTGGTTTGAAAAGACAGAGCTCAGGGAGTGGGGGCGCCTTCTCGGGGAGCAAGAAGTAGAGGCAGGGAGAGCCAAGGGTGACTGGGTCCATGCCCTTGGCAACCCCTCCAGATGCACTCAAGACTCTGCACTAACCCTCGGGTGAGGTGGCCACCCACACTGACTGCCTCATATCTCATCCACCCACCTTCCCCAGTACCATTCAGGGAGACCCCCAGCTATGCGAAGCGGCGCCGACTGGCTGACCCCAGTGCCTTGGCGTCCCCACGACCACTGCAGCGCTCGGCCAGTGACATCCACCTGAAGGGAGAAGGACAGCCGGCCGCCTCGCCCGGCCCCTCACTGCGGAGCCTCCCCCACCAACTGCTGCTCCAGCGGCTACAGGAGGAGAGAGACCGGGACCGGGGCACCGACCACTCTGTGGCCAGGGGCAGCCAGAGCACCATCAGGTAGGAGTTGGTTGGCCCTGGGGGTGTGGGGCTCAAGATTGGGCTCCAGGCCCCCAATCCCTGGATGGAGAAGCCTAGAATTCAGGATCCGGTCAGTGGTAGGTTACCCCACCTGGTTACTTCTCTGGTGAGGGTGTGGCCAGGCCTGTGGTTTAAGAAGGTCACTGCAGTGCTGGCCATGAGGGCAGGGGCTGGGGTGAGGCTGGACCAGGTGTGGGCAGGGACTTAGAGACAGAGCTACCTCTCCAGGAGGGCTTGCCCTGCCCCCCCGCCACCCTCACCGCCCCGCCGGGTCTGCACATGGCCCCCTGGCTCCTTTCCTAGGGGTCCACCAGGGTCTATCTGGGGACAGGACGGCTGTTGGAACCTCCTCTGCTTTCTCCTGTTGTCCCATCTTTTTGGCTCCCCCCTTCCTTAACAGACATGTACTCTCTGAGGGCCACCACACTATGCCGCGGGCCACCACACTGCACTCTGAGAGGCATTACACTGCTCTCTGAGGGTGATTACACTGTGCCTTGAGGGTGATTACACTGCTCTGTGAGGGTCAGTACACTGTGCTCTCTGAGGGTGATTACACTGTGC